TCGTTTTCCGTACAGTAATAATGTGAGATCCTAGGATTTGTTTATATGCAAAAGTGCTCGTAAATCATTTAAAGTTATTGTACATCACTTAAACGCTCGGTGCCCTTATCACACCCACATGAACAACTGGGTGTTATTGAATAGGATCCAACTGCCATATCTAGCTTTTCTCGCTTTTTGACAAGTCCAATTGTACGTGAAATTTTAAAGCGTTACGAATCAATTATTATCTTCTCCGTTATTACTACGTTACCTACAACACAACATCTGGGTTTAATTAATCTGGCAAATTACCGTTTTTATTAGTAACTTGTTAGGTTGAAAATTCAAAAAAGTGATTAAAATTAATTGTGATCGTTTTTTATGAACGACAAGAATGATAGCAAAATAGTTGCAACTTTTAAGCTATCGACTAAAGTAACATAAATTGCAGTCTTTATGATAATATTTTGTTTACTATTTGTACAATAAGGGAGCGAGTATTACGTCAGCACATTTTTTAGTTTTTTATCTTCCTCTCTCCCTCCATGTAAGATACTATAAGATTTATTTAACCCCTCACCTTATCTGCTGACGTGATACTTAAATTCTCACCTATAAAGCATATATTAATTTAATGTTTGGTTATTTTATGATATTTATATTGAATACATAGTAAGAATGTAAATTTAATTAAGATTTAAAAGAAATAATTATTATAAATGTCTATTTAAAAAAAATTACATTATAGGTAATTAAAAACGGTAAGAAAAATAGTTCTTCTTTAAAAAAACGGAATTTTTTGTAAACAAGTTTTTGAGTAATTATTTAGAGCTTAGATATTTAGGTATATAAAATAATTATAATATTTATGCATTTAGTCACTAAAAATTTACTAAATATGCAATAAAAATATGCACTAAAAATCATAAAAATGTATTTCTAGGTAAAAAGAACTACCAGAATAACATAAAAAAAGTATTTTATTTGTCAATATTAAAAACTCGTAGTTTATTATAATTTATAAGTATTTCATTTAATTTTTAAATAAAAAAATGTATGATGCATTTTTTTAACTATAAAAATTAGCTAAATACAGCATTACACTATGATACAATGCTTTTAATAATAATCATATTAAGCTTGTAGCAGCGTTCGTTTAGTAAAATTTTGTAACGAAAATAAAATGTTCTCCATTTACTAATGTTATTGCAGCATATTTGAAAAATGTACAATAAAATGAATTGAAATATTGCTCTCAATATTTCGTTATTTAAAATTTTTTAACGTTAAAAAATGTACTAAAATATGCATTTACATTCTTAAAATCCCTGAGTATGAAATCAAAATAAAAAATGTATATTTAGATTAGTATTAAATTGGATAAAAAAAAATGTAAAAACATTCCAGCTCTTGGCAGAACTAATTTATTTATTAATTACTTTCATTGAAATGTTCATTACGTGTTTTGTTAAATTTGCATAGATAAACAGAATAATAACAGTTTGACACAATCAAATATTTTAAACACATATTGTAATATAATACTATCTCTTCTAAACTTTAATTAAATAATTTTAGACTTCTTATACTTGAGAATAGTTGTTTGATTTAATGTACTGTAATGTATTTCTTTACCATAAGTATTAAAATGAATACTATTATTTCTATGACCAGTGTTGGATTTAACGGTCGTTTAGTCAGCGAATGCCGACGGGGATCCTTGTTTACTGAGGCCCAGAAAAATTATAGTTAATTTTTTTTAAATTTTACCAGAAAAAAAATTATGGTACAAATTATAATATCGTTTAAAATTACTATTTTTATTAATAAAAAAATAATTTAAATACACAGGAAATACTCAGGAATACTTCGAATATTTCAAAAATAGAACATTTTATTTATGAACAAAGTAAAAAATATCGAATATAGATATAGTTAGAAATACTGTTAACATTGATTATATAATTTTATATAATTTTCGAGTATGTACACTACACTAGTATATGAACAATGATTTATATCAGTTTCGCTGCATCACATTATTTATTATGTATTATTTTTCATTTTCGTATCGCGAAAATACGAGTGTAGCGAGCAGCTTTGTAAAATGAGGCTAAGAATTTTAGTGATACATTTATTACGAGACCTCTCTTTTGGATTTGCCGACTTCATTTGAACCTTTAAATCCGCCACTGTCTATGACATAAGTAAAAGTATAGTATAAGCCAAGATTATTTTTTTTTTTTTAAAAAAAAAAAAAAAAGGTTAGCTGAAACACATTTCTGAAATATTGTGAAAAAAATATGAATTGTTGTTACGATCAAGTGCGATCGTATAAGACATACCAATAGAGTTCAACTGGTTTTCATTCAATTATTTTCATATACGCTTTGCACCAATTATTAAACAGATGTACACATTGTTGTATTATCATTATTACTCTATGGATATCGACCTTCACATACCACTAGACGTCAGGATGCAATGCATTTATTACAATTGTAAATCGTCACTCGGATTCTAGCCAACATCGTTCCATCGATTCTCGTCGGTCGATCCTAAAAAGTTTGTGTCCATACCCCGTAAGTTTCTGATTACTGTACGAATTATCGACCGTGTTTTTTTCACCAATGTTATCGGTTCGGTTTCACTACGCAGGTTAGGTTAGTTTAGTTTTTGTCCTTAGCGTTCCTGCACTGTATATCTATAATTTGACAGTAATAATTTTGCATATTTTGTTATTTTTTGTAGAAATTTGTATATTTAAGTTTAAGAACTTTTATATATGCTCAGTTATATCATAATTTATGATATATCAATCAATCGTTGTTGATTTTTTATTCTTAATACTAGATGTGTGAATTGACATAGTAAAAGTCTGGCTATGCCAAGAGACATATATATATATATATATATATATATATATATATATATATATAAGCTATATATCAGTTATTTGTATTTTACAAACATAATGTATTTATTGTTTTTGTCATTTGTAACTATTGTTTACTATTTTAATATTTTATTTAGCTGCTTTAAGTGTCTATATTGTTCTATGAAAACTTGATTGTTTTATGTCATACAAATATATATATATATATATATATGTATTACAATAAAAATCGTTTGTATAAAGTATAACATTCTCATATAAAACAACGTTTTGTATAGTTTTATTTTTATAAAGGAATAAAGCCAATTAAAACGAAAATATAAATGTTTTTAAATTCCCACCAGAAAAATATAAAGTATATAACGTGTATAACGTCTGGGAACCAAAAACTTTAATCGCTTAATTCTCTGATTATGACTAAAAACCGTTATTTATAATATATCATTTTTATCCAACGTTAATTACGAATATGTGTTTTCTCGAGTACGTTTATATATTGCATTTTTTAAAGCTACAGTATCTTTGATGCCTATCAGACTGAATAATACCATATTATTGCAAGTTTTTTTGTTATTTTTTGCATATTCCTATTATACTATGATGCATAATTTTGAATATTTACATATACAACTCTGTAATGATGAACATAGTTAAAGTTATGTATCAGTATTAAATAGTGATGCACATTAATCATGAACGCTAAGATAATATTCGTCTGAATGTTAATGATTTTCAAATTTCTGTCCTCGCCCAACGTGAAAAAGAACATGCGGGCGAGTCAAAGATCTCTAGGGATATTGTTTTAATAGGTACAATAGGATTAACGTTCCCAGTACGGAACCCATACGGAAATCATTGAAATCATTATGAGCTTAAAAAAAATAAAAAATAAAAACCATCAAAATGTACACGTATGAGATTTTCGTGATAGATTAAATATTACCTTTTATAATAAACACATCTATAAATTGGACTATCGGTATACTTATAAATCTGATAATATAATAGTTATTCGCATATCGAAGAGTTTTGCACGCACAAAAACCAAATTTTGGTGAGATACAAATCTGAAAGAAGTTAATATGTATATTACATACGTGGCCTTACCGCAATTTCTTTTCGAACAACACTAAAATAAAATTCAATCGTATGATTATCATTGTATTATATGTTTTTCCTGAGCATATTAACATACGCAGCGGTTTGTTTTTGAAATTTCAGCACAAGTGTTAGATTTTAGCGGTTATTATTGTTACTGAACGTACAGTTAAACCGGTCGACGTTGTTTTCGAATAACGATGTGAAGGCACTGAACACAGGTTTCAATTATCGATGGCTGTGCGCGTGTAAATATTTAAAAAGTACAATCAAACATATATCAGTGCAACTTCGTTACGATTGATATCGAATATCTAATAGTTATTTTCATAGGCATCGTTAAGGGGTATCGAGAGGTATGTTTGCTACCCCAGAATTTTTTTTTTATAAGGTAGCAATGGTATCTTTTTGCTACTCCAAAAAAAATGTATGGATTTAAAAATATATTCGAAGTTTATTATTCAAGTGTGTACAAACATAGACTATCTATTATTGTGATTGTATCCAAAATAATTATATATTGTGATAAGTCCAATACGGACAATGAGACAGTGTATATACGTCGTACCAAGATTTATGTAGAATAGTTAGCCAATCAAGTAAACCAGTTATCATGTTAAAACTTTAAACATTTATTTTTAACTTTCAAAAAATGAACTTTGTTACTCCAAAATCTGGACTTTAGTGACGCCCATGAGTCATTTACTGTGTAGCAAGCGCCTTTTTATGAATTTTAATTTTTCCACGTAACTATCATAACCGTGCGAACAGTTTTATTTCGTTTTCGTAACACTCGACGCAATAGGGATACGAAGCGCAGCGTATTTTTCACCGAATATTTTTGTTCGATGCTCCGCATCACAACACTTTGTCCGAATAACTGACGTGCCAATAATTGCCATGGCGCCGGCAGTGCGATGTCTGGAAAACGCATTTAAGAGGTAGTCAGCAAACAATGACACAACTCGTGTACGATTATTTATGTGTGTCATTCGTACACGCGCACAATACGACGGTGACGACCGCTTTCCGTTGTACGTTTTAAATACTCGTGTCTTCCACACCGGAATACATGCGGACATAATTTTTTTTTTTTGTTTTATAACCGTTTTACCGGGCTCTTCGTACACGGTAACAATTGCAATTAACGAAGACAAAATCGGTTTCGTTCGTGCAGTGCGCGCGCAACGTTTAAGTTCGTTTCCGTAACGTATTAGGTACATGTGCAACGCCCACTTTCAGTTGATCGCGTTTAAGTTTTCCATTTTTACATCAACCCAGTGAGTATATAATTTAATCTAAACCGTCTGACAAGTGTGCTCGAACAAATTATACCGAGAAAGTTGATATAAATCAGTTGATATCACGTTATTTGCGGAACGTTATAATTGGAACGACCATTTAATAATTCGCTACAAATGCAAAATTAACGAGTTGCAAAATACATATATATATATATTGACTGTATCGTTTGAGTTTTACATTTATTTTGTGACTTCTAATGAATATTAGGTAAGAATTAAGAAAATATTCAAGTATTATTTTTAACATCGTATTGTAGTTGATTTAATTATTCTTAGACCCAATACAATTATTATATAATTGTTTTTAATGATTCGACAGAAATACATTGAAATTCGATTATTTTCTTATTAATGTGTACCTATTTCCGTTTTTAACTATGACAATTTCGAAATAGCTACTGTTCGCTGATAATTTCAATAAAAAATAATAAATAAATAAAAAAAATTAATGACGAACTTCTGCAAAAGATTGCGATCGATCTGTGTGCAGTTCTATAAATTAGCCAGTATTGTTCTGCTAGTTAACTGTTCATGCTTATTCCTATGCACAATAGACGATTGTTGAAAAGTAATAACAGTTACATTTATTGTTGATAGGTTTTAATTATTGTGTTCCAGTGTTATATCGAGGCATTTATAAAATTACTGAAACGCGATGTTGAAAACGAACTGCAGACAATGGCTTCCACTCTATTAATGTTCGATAAAAAATATTGCATACGACATACTGTGTAGATGCTAAGAAAAAATTCGCGCCATAATAATAGTAATATATACACACGAAGATGTAGAGAACGAAAACAATATCGTGAAGTAACATAGGTGAAGTCGATATCAATAACGTCTAACGAATCGTTACGTGTTTAACAGCGACGTTATTACAGTCTCGTTCTTGTTGTACTGAATTATTTTTCACGTCGCTGGCCACAAGATCCAGTTGTTCGAACACGGTAGGCCGACATGACATTTGCGGACATTGTACGTTCACTGTCTTATTATTAAAAGTTATGTCTTGTCCGTAGTTTTATGCAAGCTTACAGGTTTTACTCTCAAAATTCATCGATTGTCTCTTGCTCATACGCCGGTTGATAATACGATGTTGCCACTCCCCTCTTTTACGCGCTGCGCGTTTCACTACCAGCTATCTGACCCATGAGCCTATAAGATTAGTTTAGTGTCGAATACCAATTATTCACATTCCATCGTTATCATTAAGTCGTTTCTCGTAGGTATTCCCAGTGATGTTCCCATCATTTTTTATGAGAGCATACGCTGAAGAACGCCAAAATATAGGTATTTCATTTTTTTTTTTTTTTACGATAAAAATGGTAGAGAAGTTTAATTAATAATCAAAAAAATTACTATTACATTTTTAATAGATAAAAAACAAAATTATAAAAATTATTTACCTAAATAAATTGATAAAAATTGTTTTCTTAACTCATCTTCTTCGTCGACGGTTCATTTTTGTTCTTTACCACGTGGAGCTGAATCTGCTTATCTGTGGTTTCGCAGCTAAATTTTTACGTATGGCCGTGGATTGAAGTCTTCAACTGGGGAGCTATTGATGGAGATAAACATTAAATTTGACACATTTTCAACCATTAAACGAGTTCTAAGATTAGTTATGGTGAGATTCATATCAGAAAGTCCTCGTTCACACTCGGAAGTTGTTGTTGGAAGTATGTTTAGTGTTTTTATAAGATCAAAAGACGCATTTTGTGAACGAAAGTTTATTAAACTTTCAAATTCAGATAAACCAAATCTGCGTGACAATCTTTTAATTTCTTCTTCTCCTCTATCATCATCGGTTTCTATTTTAAATACTTCTCCAATAATATACAGAATGAAAAAAATTGCAATTTAGATGTTTGCGTACAGTAATAATTATTAATTAGATTATATTTTTCAATATTCCATACCTTTAGATCTTGTAATATTCTTCTATTTTTAAGGTAAATAAGCGCTGACGCACTTTATCGACTATATATTCTAAGAATTGCAATCTGTTGATTCCTCCAGACTTTTTGATTGTAATATTTATGCCTTTATGAATTCGTTTTTATAATTATTTTTCACCAGGTTCTGTCTTCAAGCTTTCTAGAATTCTAATTGTTCTACATATTTCTAATTGAGCGTGCATTAATGTTATTTTCCTTGATTGAAGTGTATAAGACAGCATTCCGAGTTCGAAAAGGACATCATAAAAGAGTCCAAGCTCCTCTAGAAAAGAAGAAGATTTTAATTTTTTTTTTAGTTCTATTTCAAGAATTTGACTCACGTGCTTATGTATCCCTGGATAGTTTTCCCATATGGCTTTTATTGTACGAAAACTACTGGCAGACCAACGCACATTTAAAATACGACCAATTTTTTTCATTTCAATTCCAACCACCAAACAAGCTTCGTCTAAGGCCCTAGAGTTTTTAGGACTTTGGTGATAATAAGAGTAAAGTTTATCCATGAAACTTTGAAAACGAGAAACACCTTGCACATCTTTTATGACATCATGTACTGAAAGTTCAAGGCTATGACATAAACAATGCTACGTAAATAGTTGTGGGATCCTCTCACAAAGGTTAGCAGCTACTCCAGATTTTGTGCTTGTCATTACTCTAGCTCCATCACTTGCAAATGCAATTTAATTCTTCAATGCAAATGACTTGGAAATTCCAATTTTTTCTAAGCTCAACCACAAGACTTTCTCAATATTTACAGCGTCTTGTCCATCCAGCTCTATTAAATCAAAAAATACTACAATAGGAATATCTGAATTAAAGTTTGAAAAAATTTATAAAATTTATAAAATAAGTATGCGCTTTGTGCTCAGTGTAGTCGATTCGTCAATCATTATTGTGAATTTTGAGTTTGACTCTATAAGACGTGTGATTAGCTCTTGGCGCATCTCTTTTGCGATAACGTTAATTATTCGATTGTGCAAGGAAGATCCCATGTCTAATCCATTCATTTTCTGCAGTTTAATAAGTTCTTCAAACAGTAGAAAAGGACGATGATGTTTCACTAAGCAATTATGCAGTTTGAAAAATTTTCATATTACTGTTAATCACAGTTTCGGACATATGTTCAAACATCCTATCCAAAACCTGTTCAGAGCCTTTCTTTAAGATGTTCTCAGCAAATAAATGAGATTTACTTTCCAAATGTTGTTTAATTTTACTTCTTAAAGAAGATAATTGATTCGCACGATTACTTCCAGTAGCCATTATTTCAATGTCCACCCATTCACGTGACATTCGAAGTTTACCATCAGCAATAGATTTTTGTAACTGAATAGTATTTTTTACTTGTATGCAAGTACAACATCCTGATTTCCCATTTTTACAATTCATCCACGAATTTTTCTTCTGAAATTCAGTTACTTGTTCATTAGTCCATAACATGGGCCAACTTTTACATATTTTCGTAATATTTGGATCACATTGAACTATGCGATCATTATTTTCCTCGTTGTATGGTAAAACTAATGAACCAGCTACAGTAATATCAACATTAGAATTAATTTTTTTTTGTCCGGGGGAAAAAAAGCTATCAAGGGGCCACGTTTGAAATTTGAACTCATTATAACAACAAGAAATCACAATAAAAAAATGACTTAGATTAAATATATAATAGACAATAGTAATTTATTTGCAATATTCCCATACAACAAAAAATAAAACAAATCGGAATAACGGCTGTTTACATATCATTGATGAACTCACGAACGATGACTGACATCTATACGTAAATACTAAATATTACACATTAATTAATAATTATAGTAATGAATTATTATATTATATAGTTATTATATAGTCTATAACAGGGGTCGGCAATTAATTTCTATGGTGGTCCAGTTAATTTAAAAAAATATTTGGAGGGCCAGAAAAATACTTAAACGTAATTATATCAATAATGTATTTATTTTTGTAATAAAAACACATTAAAAGACAAATTATTTATAAAGTAATTCTAAATTCATATTTATTATAACAAAATTGTATACATAAGTTTAATGAAAGAAATAACATTTCTTTTTTTTGAGCTAATTTTTAAAATCTGGTAGTCTTGGAAAAAAAATGAAGTGTAAAGTTAGATTAGTTATCTTGAACAGTATTTATTTTTTAGAAACGTGATTTTGGAGAACGAAGTTTCACATATATATGTGGAGCCAAACATAGTAGCTAATTGTATTGCCAGGGTTTTACAGTTCATGTATTTATTTTAGATATACTTTGTCCAAAAATCTTCAGTAGACAAACTGTTGTTCATTTGCAATGAGATATTTTCTTACTATTCAATACGAGCAAAATATTTTTGGTGGTACAGTTATTTCCCTTCCGCGGGCCGGACATGACCCGCGGGCTGGCTTAATGCCGACCCCTAGTCTATAATATAATATAAATATGTTATTTTTGATTTTTATGGTCGTAGACTGACGAAGATGACGATCACGGGAAATACCATCAATAACGATTATTTGTCGACGAATTGGTCGATAGCCCATGACTATTGTTACTGTCGTTATTGAGCGTCGCACGAAGGATTTGTAAAAACATACTATACTTTTAAGTTTTTAAAACAATTATGTATTTTTTTCTTTTTCTATGGTTTGTTTGAGAGTATACGTAGTATAACCATGATATTTTAGAACAAGCTTGAGAGTATACGGCGTATATGTAGTATACGCTATGGCAACACTACTAGGTTTACGATGAGGTACGAGGATGCGATTTTGTTCCGATCGCAGAAGGGTTTCGATTGTTCCTGTTGGCCCACCGCGGTTAAATCGCCGTTGAACGGCTAGCGCGCGTGCGTTGCAAACACGCGTTACATATTATTACGTCTAACCCTTTCATTATTTAAAACGTAAAATGGGTTTTTTCCGGTACGCATACCAGGAGCGTGCACATTTTTCCGAACGACCCCAGCTAACAAAAATATTTGGATCGCGGTCTTGTGAGCTGATCGATCGAGGCGTGTTCAACGTGTGCGATTCGACAACCGCTGTGCGAGCGTTAATACATTTTAAACCAAAAGACCCCCGTGCGTTTCATTCGCAAACCATCGAATAACCTGTGGTGGCTGTGTACGTTTATATATGGTTGACGACAAATGCGAACAAAAGTCAGCAGCTGACGTAGTGGTACCATAGAATATCATTGTGCAGATCATTGGAGTGCGCAGGAGTGTTGAGGGAGGATATATCCCCCCCATGGGCTTTTTTTTTAGTCTTAAATATTTAAAAACGTATTTAAGAAATACGACGGGGCAGTCACGGTTAAATGGATTGCGTTAATGAACATACATCGAGACATTCCTTTATCTACAGAATTTGTTTGTTAGTTTGGTTATATTTCCAATACCACGGACGAATATTGGTGGAGGTTTTATAATACTCTGTAGGTGGGTTTCCGTTTTTTCGACAGTATTTTATTATTCGACTGAGTTTGTTTGTTTTGTTCAAAGTTATCTATTTGAATTTTATCATCTACGGTAAGGTAATTGAATTTGTTGGCGGAGATAAATATTGGATTTCTTTTCGATTGATGTGTTTTTGGAGAATTAGGAGCACTACGTTTAATTGGATTTTTTGGTTATTGAAAAACTGTGTCATCAGAGGTGGTATTTAAATTTAAATTTAAAATAAATGAAAAAACGCACTTTTACGCGACAATTTTTTTCGTTTTATAAAAAAAAAAACAGAACGAGCATTTGACGTGAAATGTTATGTTGTTTCGTTTAGCATAACTATATAACGGAATAACACTTATTAAGTTAGAAAGTTAATAAAAATAATTATGATTACCGGATTTCGCGACATGTGAACGCTATCACGGCTCAGCACGATCTAAGACAAAAATATAAAGTAGAAAAGTCAAAATTTCCGAAAGATAAATCGTCATTAGAAATTGTTTCGGGAACAAATACCTAACTAACCTGTAGACCAAAACAATAATGCCGATCGTAATAATAGTTTGATTAATATATGCTATTCGGTTTTCTTGAAATCTTCAGATGACGACGGGGTGCTACAGCAACAGGTATTACGGGTGGGCGGCCGCGGTCGCTGTCGTGGCGATGTTGGCTTGTGCCGTGGTGGACGTGGCCGCAGACGATTCCGACCTGGCCGGTGCGTATTGCGCGGCCAGACCGCGAGGCTGTTGCCCGGGCCGACAGGACGACTGTTCCGCGCCGATACTGGGCACGACGTGCTACTGCGACGACTTCTGTAACCGCACTCGATCCGAAGACTGTTGTCCAGATTTTTGGTCGTTCTGCAAGGGCATCGTGCTCAAACCGGAGCCTAAGAGACGTGAGTAAAATAATCAGGTTCGAAACACAATGAAGGCTCTCGACGATCCCCAATCAGGGGTGCAACTAGAGCCCAAATATTGGGGGTGCTGAAATTGCTGAAAATAAAATTAAACGGTATTTAATTGTAATTATTATAGATTATATAGATCTGAAAAAAAAAACAAGAGTGCTAAATTTGAACACAGGGGTGCTAATAACCCTATTGTGCCTATGTCCCCAATAGGGTGGTGGTGAAATTAATTCGTTAATTCTAATATGCCAAAAGAAGGTAATTGTTCAACAATCAATAGCGATAGAAGTCTAAATGATAAGTGTACAAAAATGGTTCGATATTACGTTTGCTCTTGAAATTAAAAATATTATTAAATATCAGACGGTTTTCGATTGTTAAACATAAATCAAAATGCTTAGATCACACCGCGACCGTGGAATACGTAAATGTGTCCGTTCGTTTCCGAGGACGTATGTTCATATCTAACAAAAATACGGGCGCGCGTTCACTTGAGTCGTTATTGAAAAAAAATTAAATCAGGGATCGGAAGTTTTAGCAATTGCATATTTTTCTTGGTTCATCCTAGAATATCCAAAGTAAGATACAAATATGTTTCTCACTTCTCGGATATCATACACAAAATATATTAATATTTGTTATATTTATACAATATATGTATTTTAATAATGTACATATGTTAATTATATACAAAATATATATAACAAAATTAAATTTTGCTATTTTTTGCATTTTTACGGGTTTTATTACTATTTTGCTAATTTAGGTTTTATAATGCTATTTTCGAGTATATTTTTACATAATGTAGAAAATAATCACATTTTATTGATAATAATTGTATTTACTTAGTTATGTTTTTAAAAAAAATTTAATTATTAAAAATAAATAGACCTCATCAAATATTATTTTATGTTTTCATTAACAATTTGATGTATTAATAGTTAGTGACGTCATTTGTATTCTCTTATTGTATTACTGCATTAGATTATCAATTATTTTAATAATCTAGGTTAATTTCCAAGGTAAACATATAAAATAATTTAATAATAAGTAAATTTTTACAAATATGTTTAAGTAATTTATTGTTTATGTTAGCAGTTTTAAATTCAATCAGTCCAGACTATGTCTAATGAGCTCAAAAATTTTTAAAATTACATTTTTTTTAAGTTAAATGCATATTTTTTTGATTTTTCGTGCTATTTATAGCGCATATTTTAGAGTTTTTAAGTGCATATTTAATAGCTAAAAAGTAATATTTTTAGTGCTATAACTTCCGAGCCCTGGTAATAATATTGTACAACATCGGTTGACAGCCGTAAGCGGAAGTAGACTGTTAAAACGTTTTTAATCGTTACCCTCGATACCCGGCTGTATATCGCGCGGTATCCCTTTGATCGCTATCGTCGTCGAATTATTGTTCGCCGAATGCTACCTGAAATTATAAACGCGCGCACGACCGTGATCACCATCCATTATATATTATTGTGCCGCGTACGCGTACGCATAACATGTTACGTGTGCCAATTCGTTTCATCCTGTGCACGCTCTATTGTTTCTATATTTTCGCATTCGCCCGACATTGTCGATTTCCTCCCGTTGGTTCGCGAACCGCCGCAGTAATATTGTTTCGTTTCGAACGCGGCCCGTTTCGGCTATTACGATTGACGATCACATGATCGTATACGAATCAATATATATATATATACATTATTGTAAGTAACAACGATAATAACATGCATTTTCGTACCATCTTTTTACTTTGGGCACGGCGCTACGGGTATGGTCAGGAAATCGTTGAATGAATGAATCGTTCTGCGATCGATTACTTTTTCGGTCGCAATAATTTTTATTTCGAGTTTTCGCAAACCGTCAACCACTACCACCATAACCAAACTTAACTATTCTTTTATTCAATTTAAATGTAATCGTTATTCGATTTCCCGAGTTGTAAATAATTTGTTTTGTATTTTTCAAAATAGGCTGAATATTCTAAACATTTGTTATTCTACATATACCGGTATAAAAATATTATTATTAATGTAGATAACTTATTGATGAAACACTAATAACTCATAGCACAAGACGGATTCATAATTTATTGTTTTGATATCAACTCATCATACTGAAACTTAAACATGTTCGTTTCCCGAGTAAAATAATAATTTATAATTTCACAACGTAAATAGTAATAATACATTTAATATTATATTATAGAGAAATAAATATGCAAGAATCAATTGAATCGTGTTATTCTTAGACTTTGACCATATATCATGACTAGTAATTAATTTAGTATTTTTAAGAAGAATTAACCAATATTAATCTTTTTTGAGCCTAGACTGAAAAATTTGATCAATATAAATCTTTTTTTTTTATTTAATAATAAAACCATTAATTATTAGATCATTGCCATATTGAAATATTGAAATATTGTTAAATTGAAATATTGTTGTATGATCTAAAGGTATAAAATGTAGAGAAGCATATTACTATTAACTTCCTATTAAGTTTAGGGGGGGGGGGAATAATTTTAAAATTTATTTATTAAATTCACTAGGTACAGTACAATAAATAATATATTTTAAAGTTAAAATTAAAACAACGAATATGATGATCGTAAATTATTTACCTTGTATATCGTAATGACTTGTATACTTTTTGTTGTTTAGAATGTTACTCCAACGGACATTATTATGATTACGGAGAAACGATCAAAATCAATTGTAACGAATGGTGAGTAATTGCATGTGATTGTACAAATATCATGCAACATGATCTTAAGTAAAATATTGATTACGGAAATAATTGAACGAAAAAATAAAAAAAATTGAACGGCTGATCTGTAATCGGGTTTCCTGATAATTATCGTTATAAGGTTTAAATGATTTCCGCAGCCGGTGTCAAGAATCCAACGGCAGGTTGCAGCTGATGTGCAGCACCAACGAGTGTCTAATCGATCCGGACTTTTTGTACAAATTGAGATACCAAGGGAACCGTTACGGATGGGTGGCCAGCAATTACAGCGAGTTTTGGGGCAGGAAGTACGACGAGGGACTTACGTTGCGGCTAGGTACACTGAGTTCCAAGAAAAAGGTGTGTGACACATCGAACCGTATACTTAGAAAGTCGCACCTAAGTTTGCGCCCGACGTAATGAAAATAATACAATATAATAAGCTATACGTTTCATATTAAAACAAACGCGTTCGTCAACACTACGATGGTGTACGCAGTGGGCACCAAACTACAAAAAAAAAAAAAAGCAATATGACGAATATTACATTTTAATAATAACTAATCACTAATCCCCCCCCCCCCCCCCAAAAAAAAAAAAATAAATAAATAAATAAAATAAAATAATAATGGTCAATAAACATAATTCATAAATGATTAATACATAATTATCGTGTCGATAGATAGCCGAAAAATCATTGGATATTACCAATAACACATCACGATCCAAAAATAAATATACCGTATACTCGAATTATATCTACGGTAGTGCACATCGCACTACCGTAGATCTACGTAAATTAATCTGTGTAGGTACCATGAACTACTGCTTGTATCGTCTTAATCAGCCTAATAGGCAACTGATATGTTTTCTTGTAATTATGTTAAACAGTTTGAAGTTTCTATCGTACCACGTTGTCTCTATCATAAATAGTTTTATACTTTCGTAATACTTACACATGGGCTATGGGTACCAAGCTATGTGTCACCTACCTACTACCCGGTACCCCCTTCACATAATTCACTAAGACAGTCGCCATACTTGGATATAAGGAGATCGACGCCACCGAGTGTACACATGGTTGCGTCGTCATGTAAAATTAATGCATTATCGCGTAGCGTTACGAACACGATGTCGTAATGCTGGGTATCGAGGGCCTTGGGCGGTTAATAGTTAATAGTGCTCAATTAATTTCACTATTATATTTTAACATTAAATATTAAAATTTTTATTAACATGATACTATCGAGGGCCCGGAAGTCGATTGCCCCTTTGTCTCCCTGGAAAGTCCGCCTCTGTACAGATTGTTTTACACGTCGTAGAGACACTCGCAACGGCGACGACATAACTTCTACTAATCCGCGTGCGCGCGTTCCGTTTACCGTGTTCGTTGTAGATTCTTCAAATGAAGCCGCTGAAAGCCGCGTTCCGGCGAGGCTCGTTGCAACGGTCTTACGATCTCCGCAGCGATGGTACCCGAGGCAAGTACATCTCGCAGCCGATCGACCAGGGCTGGTGCGGCGCGTCCTGGGCCATAACCACGGTCCAAGTGACCACCGACCGTTTCGGCATAATGAGTAGAGGAGCGATCAGCGACGTGCTGTCACCGCAACACCTGTTGTCCTGCAACAGCCGCAGCCAACAGGGGTGCCAAGGTGGACACTTGACCAGAGCGTGGAATTGGATCCGGAAGTTTGGGTGATTATGTTATTACCTATGTGATACATCAACAAGCGATTAATGCCAGTCGGACGAAACCATATCCGTTGGGCCCATAGTAAACAATATAAATTCGTTAAATGTCCGCTTGACTGTGGAAAACAGATTGTAATAGCGCAAAATACTTGATTACTTGATACTAGAATGAACATATATTCTTTAGATGTATATATCTAACTACAAAATAAGTTAAGTTTTCATAACTGACTTATAGAGTTTTTTTATACAGTCATTTTTTTGAAACAAACGAACGACGGAAAATGCATTTGGAAATATTGTTAAATTGCTTTCATCCCATTTATTAAATAAGCGTTTTGGGTTTTACACAGCTTGGGAACTGTGTGTGAAATGCTGATTTCAAGCTATTTTGTTGTGCAATTACAATTTTTCTTTTAGCGTTGGACCAATATTTTAAGAACTCTGTTTCCAGGCAATTGATAAGCTTCACCGACGTTGAAATACAATTATTAATTGATTGAATGTATATTTCAGACTTGTCACAGAAGAGTGCTACCCGTGGGTAGGTCAAGTGACGGATTGCGGGGTGCCGAAAAAGAAGAAGGAACTGACCGCACCATGTCCACGCACCACCCGATCCAATCGTCTGTCCAAAACTCCACTTCACCGAGTCGGTCCCGTTTACCGAGTGGCCACGGAAGAGGGTATCATGCACGAGATCTTAACTTCCGGACCAGTACAAGGTGTGTTCCATAATAACATATGACATGATACAAATCAGCAAAATTTCAGAACATTACCAGGATACGGTTTTTGAACTTTTCCTCTAAACGGGGATATTGTTAACTTCTCGTAGTCATTTTTGTTCGATATACCCACATAAATCTATTACATGGTTTTAGCCAACAAACCTAGACTATTCCTAATCCTTTGGAGTACACTTCCCGTAGAAACATCATCGACGGTACCATCTACATTATGCTATTAAATTATAAGCATTAACGGTTATCTGAGACGGTTGGTGGGTTCTTTTTCATCGTCACCAATAAATTTATGTACTACTGATACAAGTGAATCAGTTTTTTAAGTACCTTATATTATGATATCGACTTTTTTTCAGAATTTATTTCTGTTTTTAGTATTATAGAAAATAAAAAACCATTTAATCAAATTCTTCCCTCATAATGCTACACAGTTAATAGTTAAGGTCATAGGTAAGCAATGCAAATGAAATAAAACGATTAGCCCAAATATATTGTAAAATATTATTCGAACCTTTTACAATTAAATCATTTTTACTGTTTGCATACTTTTACTATGCGTGATTTGCATTTAAATGCAAATTCAACCAAGGCCTGAAAATATAGCTATAGTATAACAATGGGTACCCACACACATTAATTATGAATTCAACAGAACCTTCATGCGGGACCGCAGTAAAAAAAACATACTTAGGAAAATGTTAATATTGTCATTCATTCTCCTGATTGTTTTCGTATAATATATTTCAATGCGAATGTTCTTTTAATATTATTGAAATTAAAATGCCCTCTCGGGCAAACGTATGGATAACTAACTTGCCTACCCGTGTTTCTCGAAACACAGCCTTTTTTCATATATAATTATAATATTATAATATATTATTTGTTCATATATACAAAATCCTAAGAGGCGTTCAATTCGTTTTTCGTTCTCAAAATTAATTAGGCAACCAACGTAATTTCTCTTAAATTCAATTAAATTTCATCAAAAATTATTATTTCATTAACCACGCATCAAGTGCTGGCAAATTCAAGGTAGTTTTTAAAACATCGTTCTGATTTGAATTATTTTTTCAGTAAAGGTTAAAAAACAATTAAGTTCCAACCTGCACGTTTGTTACGGTGACAATACAGTTCTCCAACAATAAAATTGTCTTAAGAAATACGACTTTAGACAGTTATTCTTTGACAATAAAATTGTATTTCAATAAGGTACAATAACAAATGGGTACAATAGCAGTATTTTTCTAATTTAAAAATCTTATATTTCATATTTACATCCCCGGTCAGGGACAAAGTATTATATTTACATACTCTTATATACATATATATTTGTATTTTAGTGTGAAAACGTTTAATATATAATTTATCCAAGTTAATTAAAATCAACGTTTAGGATTTGTCTTAAGAAAAATTTTTAATTTATAACACAAATTAAGATTGATTAAATTAATTTTTTCTCAGTTATTATCTGAATGCTATCCTCATGCGCTTGATAACAGTATACTTCTGAGAGATAAAATCAAAATTAAAATAATGTATTATTATGAGACTTCAGTGACGTATTATAATCATAAATTACTTAAAATACCTTCACATGTATAATGTACTAACTAAACATACATACGAGTACGTATTTCTATAACTGTCAAACTTTATTTATTTTAATATAAATAAGTTAAATAATCACATATAGATAAAATGTTACTTATAAGTTGGCACTACTGAATGCCTTTTCAAATCTAATATAAACGTTTATTTTTGGAATTTTTTTTATCAAAATTGTTTGTTTTAGACATTTTTTATAAAGACTATGCTTGCTATATAGCTACTATATACCATAGTATGCTAATGTATTTTATATTACAATTTTTATTACGTATTGTATTGTAATACTTAAATAATATGCTTACAGCTGTGATGAAAGTGACCAAGGACTTTTTCATGTACAAATCGGGTGTGTACAATTGTCCGAGTTTGGATATCGGATCGAGGACGGGGTATCACTCCGTGAGAATCATTGGTTGGGGTGAAGAATACCACAACCAAGGACTAGTCAAATATTGGGTACGCTCTTTGGCCAGTGGCTGAATAAAATGTATTGATTATTTTTAATATTTTATAAAACAATCCTTCGTTATTCATAATTATCCATGTCCTCGTTATAAGTTGTATAAGCTGGCGCGTTCCGAACGCAATACGTAAAAATTAATGAGTTAAATAATTAAAGTTAAGTTAAAAAGTCACGTTACTCCTAATCAAATTATTTAATGACGAGGTAATATTTTTTTATTTTTATATTATAAAAGTAGCTTCTAACCTAATTAGTTGCATTTTTTCACCACGATGTGCAGCTAATATCCAATTAAAAAAATAGCCACTTTCAACCAATTTGAGGTACTCTTTTCCCTGTTCAACTTGTAATTTTAACAAGCTAATATGACGAAAAGTAACTTTTAACTTTTCATTCGACTCGCTTTTCTTTAGATACGGTCGACTTAGCGGGTTGAAAAAATAAATTAACTCGACCAATGGTGGTGATAATATGCTCACAACGGTTGAACACTTCAGCAACGGGCCCAGAACGTAAACCGCGTTACGCACGCAAAAAAATAAAACACGTATCACTGTATCCATCGGTCCGCGAGAAAGCTTTAATAAAATAAATGTTGCGACCATGAGTAGGCAACGATGTAACATTGTGTATCGATATCGTTCCGATTTTTCCGACATCGTATAGAAAATATCGAAAATACACATTTTAAATATTACCTACTTAGTATTTATTAATTATTACTTATAAATAATTATCAGTTCAAACATTTTCTTTACTTAGCTAGTTGAAAATTAGAAGAAAACAAACTGATTGCATTCAGACATATAAATGATAATATACATCAAAAAAGTAAAATTATTATTATTAGAAATAGGTTTTCAAATAATTCATGTGTTTAATCTTCAAATTCGACAGCTGTATTTTAGCAAATTAATCCATGACTATTTGGCTATTGTTTTCAATAAAAAATGAAAGTGTATGCAGATTTCTTACTGAAGTACGTCCTAGAGGATGGGTAGTTTAAATAGAGAAAATTGTTGACTCGATCCGTAGTATTCTACTTATTTTCTTTGATGTTATATTGCCAGCTTTACTAAACAAACGTTCACATTGGACACCACTAGAAACTAGCGATAAGTATTTTTCTCCCAATACTGATACTTCTGAGTACAAATTAGAATTTTTTTTCGATCATTTAAACGGATCTTTGTCCCGATGATATTTTGCACGTACAGTGTAACACAATTTATCATATCCATTATCGAAGGCCAACGAATACAATATAGATTTCGACATCCCAATACAACGTACTTATATTCCGCAGATCGTGTCGAACTCTTGGGGACGTTCGTGGGGCGAAAACGGATACTTCCGGATACTGAAGGGCACGAATGCGTGCCAGATCGAAGATTTCGTCATTGCCGCATGGGCAGATATCGACGATTTTGACGTAACCATCCATCCGCAGGGGTACGACATATTCCTGTTGAACCACGCCGCGGCCAACACCGTCTGAATGAACGGCATCGCGTTGGGGTGTACGCGCGACTCCTCGTCCTGGCGCTGCGGTGACGAACAAATGTCCAAGGAAAACACAAAATGGACCTAATGCCTTCTATTCGCTACTCATTTACGTATTCATATTCGTATTATTATTATTATAGTTATGTATATACACGCATGGTACACACGTGCGGAGTGATTCGTCGGACGCACCAACAGACGTACTGACTTACACGTCGTCGATCGAAATCATACCGCGGCATGTTTTCTGTACGCTTCGAATCACCCCGTACACGTTACGCCACATTATTGTTTGTATTTTATATTATCAAAACAATTACAGTTCAATATCGCGCGGGCTTGTTTTTCGTTCGTTAATCGTTACATTGATTATGTATAAACGCATGAGCGAAATCAATCGACGCACAAATCGAACCTATCGATCAACTTTTATTAATTTATTATATTACTATACGATTTGTGTATGTATGTACATAATATGAAAAATATATTTATATATACTGTACACTGTAGCGTTGAAATTCACATATGATTTCAAATATTTTAGTTTAAAATGTTTTGTAAAATAAGAATACATATAAATATATTTAACGAATACGTTAATAAATGTAATATTATCGTTTAAACTTAGACGTAGGACAAAATATAATACGTGTTTAGGTATATATATTTTTTTTACTGTATTATTTTTGAGGATAAAATTGGTTACCGGTAACCAAGCATTTACTCTTGAACTAATATTATTTTCTTTGTGTTCATTATTTTTCTTTTTATTGATCCATTTAAATGTCGTTTTTCGTCCTAAACCAATCGAAATACATTCTAAACGGATAATACCATTGCACTTTAACGTGCTTATATCTAAATAATAATATTATAATCATATTAACCATATTCCGGTTAAGCATATATATTTATTAGTAACATATACGTACATGCAATTAATATATATTAATATATATTTATATGTATGCATATACAATATACATTTGAGAAACAATAACCTTGTGTTCTTATTTTATAAATAATCTGAATAAATAACCTACGAAATAGTTTAACAGTTAAAATAATCGTTTCGTATCGAATCGTATACGGCATATGGGCATTCAAATACGTCGGGAAACGCAAATACAAAATGAAAATATAGTAGTAACAGCTGAATGAATGATATTAAATACGTCCATGCGACGATTTGTTTTCACCATTTAGTTATCAGGCTCGTCAATTGTTCCGATGGCATCGACTTTGTTGGTGGCCACTTTGTTACCAATTGGATTGACAAAGTTCCTGAATGTCAACGGTAATTGCAATAGAGGCGCGTTGTTGATCGGATCGTTGGTCCACATGGTCCAAGTCTTACCAATGAAGTCGAAAATACCTATACAGCCAAATGAAACACAAACAATTATAATAAGCAAATTAAATCGATTCAAACAGATTAAATATTCATGAATATTATAAATAGTATACATTTGTGGTAGATATTATTAATCACATGATATTAAAATATTCAATGATTTTCGGCAAAGTAACGGTTATTGGATGTATTCGTGCGCATCGCATTTTCTATATTCATTTCAAAAATGGAAAACGGCCATATATACATTATTACTTCAAATTAGTATTTATGTTCGAATAGTTATTTAGTTATAACAATAAATAATAAATTATGAATACAGTAATCCCTCGTTATCCGCGGAGGTTGCGTTCCAAAAAAGTTGCATGGATAACGAAACCACGGATAATGAAACCATAAATAAATGTAAAAAAGGAGGTTAGGTTTTCTTTTCTCAATTTTAAAAATCAGAATAAGATTAATACATATTTTTACCATTTTTTAATTAATCTAATTTATTAATTATTTATAAACATACTGTACATATGTATTAGGAAGAATGGAAAATTGAAATTAAATTGCACTAAATTTATTAGAAGTAACTGTACACGTGTCACGCACAAATATCAACCGTAAACTGAACAATAATTTACGATTATTAATACTATTAATAAAACATATATCTATCTTAAGCTCCATTCAGTGGCATTAATTAATTAAATTACCAATTTACTATCGTTTTATGGTGTTTTTTCGATGTGCATACCCGAAACTAAACAAATATTATTTTATTTGCAGTAAAAAATAAAAATAATCATGTGTATTTGGTTTCAAGTAAAATGTAAGTGTATTGGTTTTCCATGCAAAAATTCGATATAGAAAATGATTTAAAAACATTTAAGTTCTTATTGTAGACTTATGTTTAATAAATTGATACTTGAAAGTCATTGCGCCTTCCGAAATATTGGGTAAGCAATACAAAATACTTAACGCATTGTGTTGCGGAAACTTATTGTCATTGGCACAGCCGTTAAACTGTGTACGTATTATAATATGTATTTGATAAAAATAATTGTTTTGCTCTTGCAATTTTAATTATTGCAAAACACTAAATGTTTTTTTTCTATTGGTATAAAATAATGACATTTAGTTGGTTAATTAACGTATTTATGTAATATAATCAATGTAGCCAAATAAATTGTAAATCTATCAAATATTTAACTTCTGCCCAAACGGCTATGACTTTGCACACATTTTTTCTGTAGGAGTTCTAACCCTTCAAAACTACGTCTAAATACGTCATATAGTTTCGCTATCAAATACAAAATATATTCAAAGCTAATGCATTTTCGTGTATTATGCGCATCGAACGTAATTCTATTACAAGTATAAAAAAAATGGAATATTGTACTTGAACGTGTCTATGGAACGTGTTCATAACCTAACGATGATAACCTGTGGTAAAGTATTAATATACGGTCGTGCTATCAGAAATAATTATTGATTTGATATAATATTAAAATTAAAATATGTATATGCATAAAAGAAAAATCTTTATTAATTGATAGAATTATTACGTGTTTTATGTTGTGGCACGATCAAGTTGATCATTAAATCGCAATTTCAGTTTTGAAATAAATCACATTTATTTGAACTAATAGAGTAAACTATTTTTGATGTTTATTATTTTACGATCTTTTTGATTGGAACGACTTCGAATTGAGTAAAAATTAAAATTATTTAAATAATGCAAAAATATTAAATATTAGGTTAAAAAAAAAAGTTCTAATTGGTATCCATCTAATATCTAACAAGTATACTGTATATCTAGAGAATAAATTGTTTAAATTTAGTAGAATATTACTGAATTTTCTGTTTATAAGTGAGTGGGTAGTTAAATGAATCGCCATACATATAAATATATATTTCGGTATGTATGCATCAAATGTTGGAAAATGAAATGCACTTACCCAAATGTATCGTGCTCACCCTGGCGGTGGCCTTGTCGCTGAAAATCGGCCACGGATCGTCTTCTTTGTTGCCGAGTATCTCTATCATGTCCTCCAAGCTCGTGGCGTCCCTATTCTTCGTCATCTGCCTGTACCTGCTTTCCCTGGACACGCTGCTCCCATACGCGGCTTCATTCAGCTCTGGGTACTTCAAATGGAGCAATCTGTGGTGAGGAAACGTACGGTGAATTCCAAGACCGGCCGATAGGCGTCGCGTATAGTACAATTTCCGTACCACTATCGTTTGGCGCGTACAGACCTGTTGGTGTGCAACGAATTTCTTCCGATCCCGAAGTCAGCGAGATAGACTTCAGACCTGTTGTCTTCTGCCTTAGGCGTGACTTCGGCCGTGTAGAATACTCGTGACTTAACGGGCACGTCTAGGAAAGCAAAGTTCACGTTGAAACCGTCGGCCGTACCGATGCCCTTGTTGGTTAGCACGTCTACGATCTCCGTCAAATTAGCCTTGGAGGCCAGCAGGGCTCGGGTGATGAATTCTCTGGCTAAAAATAATGAAACCGACGGTGTATTGAGCGCGAAACGCACGCGAATGAGCGTGCACACCAGGTAATCAAAACAGGCACCTGATTAATCTACGAAATTTCCCTTCTCACCCGTCACCGAAATATGTAATTGTTAAGTTAAACGAAGTTATTTCGTCCAAAAGTGTTGCTAAAATTTAACGTTAATGGTGTATCATGTTAGGCTCCCTGTCGGTAATGTCTGCGCACGTGTAAACATGTAATCGGACGGCAGTATTGATGAGTTCGGTATCGCGATATTAGTTAACGGCCGTAGATAGGTGAAAGGGTTTTTATTACACCCAGGCGACACGATGAACATTTTACAGGTGGATGGGCGTGTAGTCGGATTCAGATGGATTTAGATTTTAGAACGAACTCACGCATAGCATGTTTCCGAGTACAAACGTATCACAAACACGAAACACGAAATACTTGGTAGGCGATAAGAATATAACACGAGGACTCAACATTCTGTGCTTTTAATTTATTGTAGCATAGAAGAGGGAAAAGCCTCTCGGAATTAGATAATCCTAATTTTTAGTTGGTAAAACATAAGTACGTAGTTACTTCAATGTTTAACGGTCTATAGTACCCTTCCGATCTACGTTTTTGAAAAAATGTCAAGGATGGTGCGCTTAAGAAAGAAGTGGAAGGGTTGGCGCTGAAATATTTAAGTTGTGCATCATAATTTATACATTTTCACCGTATCACTGAGTAACGGTATCTGTAGTACCAGGATAAACGACGATGTGCCCAAAGTGAATCGAAAATATAGCGACGTTCATCATGTTTTTTGGTTATCATTATTTTTTAATCGTTTTTTTTTTGCACTCACGGATTTTGCCCCTCAATGGTTTGCTGACGAATATCGTGTTGATAGAGAACACCAGCCCGTGGTGGTTGTGGCCGCTTGCGTAGCCCGGTAAGTGACCGGCGTACGCGAGTGCCTCGAACTTCTCATCCCTGGCCGCAAATAAACCGCCCGACTCGTCTTCGCCGGGTACCACGTGCGCGGATATGATGTAATAGTTGTTTACCGTCTCAGACATCGCATCTTCTGTGTGTCCCAACAACTGCAAAACGACGCGGATTCGTTGTGAGTACTGATGGATCACGGAGTGAACTTTACGTTCATTTAGCGAAATTCATTTTGACGTTTTTTTTTTTTTTTTTATTTTAATTTCGACGAAAAGACATTTTACCGAACGGATATTTTGACGGATCAAATATAAAATATATCAAAAAATAAGATTAAAAGTTGTTTGCAAAACTTTCCAATCAATCGATAATGTCCTAATTTTTATAATTTTCATCTTTTTAATGTTTTCTGATATTCACATCAATTTCAGATTTAATATTCAGAATATATAAGAATAGCCCAGGAAGGTTAACATGAACTATTTGAGTCTGGCCATTTGCATTAGTATTAAACCCATTTACGAAAGTATTTAGTAGCCAAAATATTAAAATGACCTTACGCGTTATCGGTCGGATATCTTTTATCTGCATATCGTTATAGATCGATTTTTTTCCCACCTTTTCACCGGGTTCACACGACATATACGCCATATCGATTCACAAGAGATGACGTGAGAAGGTTTTCGACACCGAATCGTTTACGTACAATAACGCTCTCAGTCCCTTAGTTTGTAGACGCTACCAAGGTGAATATTTTAGTTGGATTATAGCCAGAGACAGCGCCAGGGTTCGTAAGGCCCAGGACAATACACTATTAGGAGTTCCTAAATTGAAATTATTTTAATCTTATCGTAGGAGTGATTGTGAAAAAAAATGAATACGATGTCTTAAAACAAACTTTTATTGATTTAATAATATTAATAATAATAATAACACTTGAATATTATTTGTATACTGTATTCTAGTATAATTTTTACTTGACTTATTGGATATGACTAAAACATATTTTTCTTGATTTTTTTAAAGCGAAAGTTTCTAAGAACTTTTGATAGTCAATGTTGTTAGATATTTCTTGTTCAATAGATATAAGTGTAAGATCTAAAAGTTTCTTTTGACTTAATTTATTTTATAGGTACGTTTTGAGAAATTTTTTTCGTCACAAGCTAATGTTACTGAGATTTAGTCATAGATCGTTCAACAGGTTAACGTTGTCGAAAATATTTAAGGATAGAACACGCAAAAAAAACTACGTGAAAATTTCCGAAAATAAGATATTAGTACAATTGTGGTCCATTTCGATGGAAAATTATAACCATTCCTATCTGGGAAATAAAATGTCGATAGACTAGAAAAGAAAATATTATTAAATATTGTAATGCCGAAAATCAACCAAGAGAAGATTAGAAAGAATTATTAAAATTATCAAAGATATTTCTTGGTGGTAAATCTATTCGATTTCCAGGTACCTTTCATCGTGTACGATGGATAGCAAAAGCAATATAAAGTTAAAAAAATATTTTTATATCAAGATGACTTTTATTTAACATCCGACAAAAAAATTGGTGTTCACGATGTTTGTATTTTTCTTGTACGAGTTTTTATTAAATTTTGGTTTTCTGTGACAAACGCAATTGATGTTTCTTGATTAGATTTAGAATGCTTATAAAGTCTTTACGCATATCGAAATATCAATTCAGATATAAGCGAAATAGGACTTGTTTGAAAAAAAAAGTTTAAAAACTCTATTAAAATGCTCAAAATATTTACAAAATATAAGTATGAGTATAGAGAAAGATCTGGGGAAGGGGTTTGTAGGCCATCTGATACATCGTTAACATTTTTTTTAACGATATTGGCCTCTTTTAAGTGTACCAACTATAGGACAAAATTAATACTAAACAGAAGCAAATTCACCGGTTGCCACCATTCAAATTACGCCCCTGGTTTAATTGTAGAGTGTAGTAAAACATCTCTATACCGGACCCCATTTAACATGGCATTATTCATTCAATGAAATAAATGTAAATGTTTTCATTAATAGTCATGAATAAACTTATAAACGCATATTATATGATGTGCCTTTTGACAATATATGATCAACCTTTTGATGTCCACGCCCCCTTTCAAACCATTTTATGAGTTCACGCCCCGCACCCTCACTGCTATAAGATTGATGTATGCATAATATTTATTTGTAAACTATACTTTAATGTCGGTTATTGGATTAATAAGAATACAACTTCAATAAAGTTTTTTTAATATTAAATGAATTTATTTGCATAAAAATAAAATCGACCACGGCGGCGACCAACACAGCGGCAAAGCACGGCGTAGAAAACTGTAATGTTTTCATTTTTCGAGTTTTTTTTTTAATAATTTCACGTTCTCTTGAAATATTTTCACGCCTCCCTAGGGGGGTGCGCACCCAGGTTGAGAACCACTGATATAGTGTTTGTATGTTACAAGGTGTACATTTATAATCCAGTTTCTAACAAGTAGCCTCTTGAATAGCCTAACGCACAGTTCTTTAGCTGTGGAACCGTCCTTGAACTTGTATTATGTGTATACAGCTAGTATTCGTATACAGTACTTACCTACTGTCCGACCAGCTAATCATTTTGACCTATAACCGAGACGAAAACATTTTGAACAAATAATTATACTTTACCTGTGCATTGAGATTGTTGATTATGAATGAAGTGCATCCTACAGGTCCCTTGTCCTTACTCGAGGTGTTCAAATTTTTCGGTAGCGTATCGTCCAAGGCCATTAGGAACAGCTGGAATAACACACAATATTCGAACGTAAGTCGATTTATTTGCTGTTTTTTTAATAAAATTAATCGTTCAAGTGTATACTTCGTGGAATGGTACATCTGCTCCGTCAGCCATGCCTTTTAATTCGATCACGTATTGAGGGAAATATTGTTCAGTGGATTTTAAACTTTCTTCGTAAATTTTACGTCCCTCCGGTAAAGCGAACATTTTCAACAGTTCGCTCTGGAGCGGCTCGTACGCGCTTATGAACTGTTTAATGATAGTACCAAAAGTTCTACCCTGTACAGATAAATAGTTTCACGTTTATTAATGTGATAATTTGTTTAAGCTGGTCGCTATAAAAAATAACAACAAGATCTCTAAATGACACTCAAAAACTCCAAAAAATGATATGTATAAATGGAAAATCAATAATGTTATGTCAAAGTAAATATTAACAAATGTACCACCAGAGCGGTAATTTTTGATCTTACACTCTCTTCGTTGGTTGAGAAAACTCGAATTCTTAAGACGTGAACGTAAAATGTCCTGGCACATTATGAAAAAATTTACCCGAATATTGCATACCTGTTTGTGCAAATTTATTTTAACATGTTGGATAGCAGGAACGCAAAACTATTAACTGATAAAATTAGAAACATCCAAGTACTTTATGATTTACTTATAACAAGAATAACTACATTAAAAAGAAAAGCAACACCGGTTTTTTTTACTGGACCAAATAAAATTATTCGTCAAGAATGACAAACAGCTGTTATTCCCTACGCTCACATCACTTTAGGATATCCATGTATGAAGTAGGAATGAAAAGAATACCAATTTTTTCAAAAAATATTGGGGAAGCGAATGTATACTTGTAACAGTAACTATAGTATAACATTTAAATTTTGTTAAAACATTTTGGGAAACATATCAAGTTGAAAAATATACATTAAATTACTTACAAAAATTGAAACAACTTTTTAAGAGAAAAAAAAATTAATTAACAATATAAATACATAAATATAGAAAAAAAATATATAAAAATACAAACAATTTTTTATAAAATTGTTGAGTTATATAATAATAATTAAATTATATAATATTCTACAATATAAAACTAATCTTTGTGGTATTCCTGAGCAAAGGTAATTAGGCAAAAATTATATTTACTCAAATCTACTAACGTGAAAGAAATGTATGTATTCAATGTGCTAATATGTAGCGAAATATTACGCCTAATCGTAGTATGTCGTATGAATGTCATAAAATATTGTGTTTCAGAAAAATACGCTGAAACGTATTCCTCTCTTAAAACCAATATGCAGATATTTAAATGATAACTTTATGTTATTTTTGAATCTGTTCTGGAGTTGAATAGATTTTTTTGATTTGCGATTAATAGAATTGATCAAATGCATAGTTGATCTGCCAATAAAATAACTATTATAAGATTATTATTATATTATAACGTGTTGAACGACATCCATCAATAAAAAATATTAATTTCGATGGAAAACTCTAAATATTTCCCAGTATTTATGAACTAATCTCGAGTTGGACAAAAATATAATACAATAAATATAAAGTTTATTATAATTCCAATGACGAGTAACAACGTTGCGCATGAAACAAAGCAAACGTTTTATTAATTCCGGACCAATGCATTGGAACGAGGATCACTACCTATCAGAAGAAAAAAAAAACTCGATAAATCCAGTCGAAAATCACGGAAGATAATAATACAACGGGAAGGGTATCGTGTTACGATTATTATTATACAAACCCCCGGAAGTACTTCACGAGCACCTTCGAAATATGCGACGAAAATCGGACCGCGAAAGAGTCAATGGCGATCGTCATTGGAACATATATTATAATAAAATACCCAATGTACGAGTTAGATGCACTTGAGGTACTCCGCACGGGCAGTTTAACATTCGTATTAGTTAATGGTACGACGATAGGTTTGTGCGTTTTTTTTCTTATGTGTAGCTGAAATACGATTGTTGCAATAATCATTTCCAGATATCGTACAGATAACAATGTCCGAGGATAGAAACGCGTGTAGGAAGCTAAACGGATTTGCATTGGCATGTTTACAAAATTATAATGATTATATATCTTTTCCGTCCAATCCGATACCATCGTTTTGACAACCGAATAATGTAATAATTAAAATACGTCGTGTATAACGTGTGTATCACACCGTACATATTGATGTATTTAAAAAGACGATTCACGCAAATTTCGCGGCAAAGTTACGTAACACGCACTCTAAATCGTGTCATAATATAATCGTCGCCAGTTCAAGGTGGGCAATTATATGATCGGAAAACGGATAACTATATTTTAATATTAGGATTTAAATATTGTACCCCGGCACATTGTATATTTTCAACGGATGCGAGATGTCTCAGTGTAAACGCTCTAAATGTATCTGCTGATATCATATTATCTTAACTATTATGATCATAGTTATTATTTTCAACAATTAAGAAAACGTCAAGTCGATATAAAATATATATATATGTGTGTGTGTGTGTGTTTACTTGACCATGAGTATAACTACCCAAACGTCTTTTTTTCTCGTCTATATAATACGTATGCATATATATAATAATCTTTATTACGGAAATTTAAAAATATATATTATGTAAGGTATTTATTTACCGGAAATCTGATGAATTCCATTCTTGGTTAAAATAACCTTAATACTTTTAAAATTAATATCAACTCTAATTTTCTACGGTATTCACAAAACTATATATATAGTATATAACGCACTTAAATAGTGTTCTACGAAGATAATTGTCCTTATAATTTAATCCAACAATATTCATACCTTCATGAGACACTCTGCAAGCTTTTCTCACAATATTTAAGATTTTTAAGTAAAGATTTTACACATTTTTTTTTTCAAGTGTGATAATCTGTAATTATATAATATTATTAAGGCTTTAATAAGGTTAAACAACAAAGTTCCAGGTTATATGGAAAAATAATATAAACGTAGTTATTATTACGGTATTTAAGTATAATTTCCATGATTCTATGGAATATTAATTATTATAGTATTTATTACAATTATATAACAAAAACATTTTGAATCCAAGGAGACTATTTTTTTTTTATGATTAAATTTTCTATTAGTTTGCAATAAGTTGTATAAACGTACTAAGTTATCGCATGATTATGTAATCGTATAATCGAATAATTGTTTTATATTATATTATACCTATATAACATAATATCAATGGTTTAATAATATAATGATATAATTAGTTTAGAAATTGTAAAGATATACTTTAATTAAATTTAACTTTACAACTTGTATTGGAATTAATAAATAATAATACCGCGCAATAGAATATTTTTTTGGTTACAACATGCATATCAATAACTATAACGCATGACTTTGGTATTTTATAATATACATAGGATAACTAATAGTACGAAGATATATATCTAAAAAATTACAGTCAACCACCCTATACCTTGTGTAATAATAATACTAAATAGGGTAGTAGAAAAATAAATATGCAAATATTATTGCATCCAATCAAAAAGTCTTAAATTAAAATGTTAAGTTTTTTAATTCAAAGAGAATAAATCAATCATAATCTATCGAAAACAAATTTTAAATAATTTTACGAAGTTACGAAGTTAACGAAGATGAAGATATAATGTTTAACCACTTGAGAGTGATAAGTTTTTAGATAAAACAGTATACACCTAGAATACCCAAGCAATATAATGTTGCCTATATGTACGGCTTGAACGGATTCCAATGAGTACTATATAATATAATATATAATATGAGACAATATAATAAGTGGAAAAACTTTTGTGCTCAAAATTTGAATTCTTATTTGTACCCATCGTAATCTCAAAGTTCTGTTCATTGAAACAATATAATGTTTATAAAATGTGCTATTAAAAAATTATAATTTAATATTATTATTATTACAGTAGAAAAAAGTTCGATATATCGAAAACTTCGGGATATTGAGTTTTATTAACATTTTCTAGATTTTCTAGTTTAATGATATGTTTTTATCCCGACACAGAGTAAACTATTTTAGCAAACATTTATCAATATCCAAATAGGAGTCATTCTCATTTTTTTTATACTTCCACAATTGAACTTCATTATTTTCTTTTTTTGTTTTATAATTGACGATAATGTATTTGGTGGAATATTGAATTCATAGGCGATTTCACATTTTTTACGGTCACTTTTTTCAACTAACTGTATTAAACGAACTTTGTCCGAAAGTGAAAGAACATTTAATTTACGCTTATTTTCTATTTTACTACAAACGAACAAACGAACAAACGAACTATGAAAGACTACAATCGTGACTACCAACGCACTAAATCACAATCGCTGTACTGCAAAATGTATGCAACGTACTCCACTAATGTATTGTACAATTCCTATTTTAACCGTGATAAAAATATTATTGATGAACTCGAGATAACGAAAAATGATTAATTTTATATCGAGTTATCGAGAGCAAAACACTATTAAGTGTAATAGTAGTTTCAATAAGAAATTTAAAGTCGTTCGGGATAACGAAAAATTCGAGATAGCGACGTTCGTCATATTAAGAATCTACTGTATTATTAATATTATATCATAATATGTTTATTATTATTTTTATTATTATTATATAATATTATCTACTTCTACCAACTATAAATAATTTAATGAACAATTTTAATTGAAATTAATCACTTATGTACATTATGTTGTATTGTATTAAATATTTGTTTACACTATTAATTCAGTGATACTAATAAGATGGATAATTGGAGAGTTACCTCCTCCCCCTCCAGAAGAAAAATGTATATTCCCTTCCACGAAAGAATGTAATAATTTTATAATTATTTATTTATTTACTCCTACGACATACCGCATATCACATACCCCCTCAAAAACGATACCCCCTTCCCCCGGATTGAAGGTGTGAAGTAAACACTGCTATTAATTGATGTTTGAATAAATACAAAAATTATATCGATAACTATGATAATGAAAATTGTGATTATCAGTGCGATACTATACGTCAACGTATGTACTTGAAAGGTTACGTAACACGTAATAAAATTCCTAAATAATGTTAACTGTGTGTACGTAAAGACCGTATCTAGAAATTTATTTCAGGTTGAGTTCAAAATATGTATATTGTAATTTCATTGAATTTAGATTTTAACTTTTGATATTTGGTTAAAAATAAGACAGAAAAAGATTTATTCTTCTTTTATTAAAATTAATACTATATTTTCATATGATATTATGATATAAAACTAAAAGTAGTCAATGATCAATTGAAACTTAAGACATTTTTGACTGAAAATATTTATGTTGGCATTAAAAATAAATAATTATTTTAAACATTCGTAAAATATTGAAGAAATTTCGTGGGGAGTCCAGACACCCTAGACCCACCCAGTTATGGCCTAAGTGTACGTTATTACTATTTAATCAAAACTGGTGGATTACGATCAAGAACCTTGTCGGAGATTAAATAGATCGCAAATAAATTTTTTTGTATCATATAAGTATATGTTTTTTTTTTATCAATTTCCATTAATCTGACTATTCATCTTCTTTTTTTTTGTTTTTTTGGTTTTTCAAGATTATCTGCGACTGTTACAATATTCCTCCAAGACTCTGTTTTGGGTGTGTTCTTCCCAATTCGTTACATCTAGTTGCTCCAATGTCTTTTCATATTTTCTCAATTTGTCCATTCAACGCTTTTTAGGTCTGCCACCATGATCTCTTACCATTTAGGATCCAATTTACTGTTGTTTTTATTCTTTTTGTATTATCTCTACGCATTGCATGACTAGTTAGTTCTTATTAAATTTAATTTTTACTAAACTTTTACTGCCTTATTACCAATAAAGCTTCCATAGGATTAATGAAAATTTCATTGAAAATGAGTTTTCAAAAAAAAAAGTATTTACAGTATGTTTACAGTTTTATGTTGTTTCTGTCGACTAAAGTGCAATTTATTTTAACTAATAAAAATAATAATAACTGTCTGTTAATCTAATTTTACAATATTAAAACGTTTACGGTTTCTATTTATTTAATTACATTGGAAAAATACGGTACAATGATATCTTTTATCGTATATTGAGAAGCATTGCGCTCTTCTTATCGGCTATTTGTGACATTAAAATGTCAAGAGTATAATATAGTGCAAACAAAAATGTGGCTAGCTGTAACATTTTTAGAGTTACATAACAGTAACACATCTATAGAGGTCTGTAATACGCAAATCTACTTCACATGTTTACCATCGTGTACTTCGGACAAAACGAAATTAAAAAATGGAATAAAATAAAAACCACTTTGATGTTACTCTCGTTTTTCTCGATATACGTTTGATCGAATTGGTGGGAATGCATTACGACGAAATAGTAAAAAATTTAAAATTATTGTTTTGGCACGAACAAATGCAGTAGTAAAACGTTTAAGATTATGTAAAGATATACGATACGACTGGTTTGACTGTTTTTTTTCCTACATTAAACAACACTATTAACGAAACCGTATGATAATGTTAATACACCTTAATGGTTAGGTGACCATTAGTGTACCATGCAAAATTACGAAAATAATATTATATAGTGTACAATGGGTGTTACTTACGACGCTGTATCCGACTTCGTAATGCGTGCCCGTCACGTAATGCACCGGTATGGAGTTTTGTCTTCGAGCCACGGGAGGACAACACGTTCCTGGAACCGACATTTTATTTTAATCGATTAATTGATTTTTTTTTTTTTTTATCTTGTTTTTCGAATCGAACGATAGCGCGGTTATTATTTATTCTGACTTTGAACGAGAAAAAAAAAAACACTTAACCACCGTCGGTTCGGCCTGTACGACAAAAACAATATGCGCTGCGGCACGGTTGTGTTAGCCCGCGCGTCGACGCCGAAACCGTACGAATCGTAAAGCCGATTAACAACACTCGTAATCGGATGTAAAATTGACGCGCGTAACGATATCGTTTTTTTTACTCTTCGACCGACCGGGTACGCGTAAAATAATGTGCGCGGCGTCGTAACGATATCGCGTGTTTTATGCTTCCGATATTTCCCTCCAAATCCGTATTCACGTGCGATCACGTCGCCGCGTTCGGTTGCACATATCGGACGCGTGACCGAGCGTGTTTTGGCGCGCGCGTGCGCGTACACTTAATGTTCCGCGCACTTCAATACCGTGCGAACATGGAATCTATTGATAATGTTTGAAACGGAAACTCGACCGCACGGAGCCGTGTTCAAATCGTATGTATGGTTTCAGTCGGAGATTAACGATAATTCGATAAACGAAACGAGAAGAAAAAAGTAAAAAGAAAATTGACGTGCCTGCTTCACGCCGCGCACTTTGATATCGATATCAATCCTAAGCTCCCGCGGCGAACGCGCACTACGCACACGTTGGCGTTACATTTTCCACGGATGATTAATAGTGTTCACTTGGCCGTTCATTCAAATGTTTTTGTTTAAAAAAAACAAAAACTTTTTTTGTTTCTTTCCGAACACTGACTATTGATAATTACTCGCGTGATGATTTAAATTATTATATAATATTTATTTATATGTTTATGTATTTATGATAATTTATCACACGGGTACGCATAGACGCTCGATAAACGTGCATGATAAATCAAAGTGTTTACGTTCACTATTAACACAGACCGATGGTACTCTTCAAATGTTATTGATATGCTATTTAATGACGTCGTCGTTGGCGTTCGTACAAAAAAATGATAAAAAATTGAATACTCATATCGGAATAATATCCCACAAAATCATCGCAACACTGATCATTTTTGACGTTTGTTATCGACACGAAAACCATTAATTACTTTAATGTGCTACCGTGTACGTACGTGCATCGCAGTTTGCGGTATAGGTACACGTGTACGCGTCGGCATGCGGGGCGTGTAAGCAAGAAGTAACTCGATATTAATTTATGGTGGTGAGTGGCACACGTATAATAGGTACTTCAGACGCGCATATGCATTGGTAAAATATATTCTTTAAAACAAAACACGTACGATGCAGATTTTTATTTTGAAATAGCAACGAATAATGTTATTATGGTAATGTAAATGTATGCATAAAAACGCACTGTAATTAATACCCGATGACGTACGAACTAGTTAACGAATCCGCCAACACTCTAATTACTGCGGGATTTCCTCTAATTATTAGGTATGGAAACTTCTTTTGGACGCAAATCGAAGAACGAAAACTGCGTAAATACCGTTAGTTATCGTTCGTCCAGCAGCCTTCGCTGCGTGGACGGGGCTCGGATTCAGTCATTTATTATTACGTATTATGCAAATATCGGAAAAAATAAAACTAGGGTGAACTTTGGTACTAGTCAGGGTACTATTAATTTAGGTAAATTAATAGTAGAGTAAATTATGGTGACTGTAAGTTCCGTATCTCAACTTTGTGTCCCGTTCCCCCAATGAAAGTAATACGGGACGCTTTTTATCCCATTTTGTGCCTTAATTTTTAACTTAATATTCAATAAAATATCTACTTCAAAATATGTGCAATTGATAGTTTGTTGTTGTCATGAAAAATTACGACGTAAAAAATTTTTTATAAGGAAAATTTCAACCGATTTTAAGTACTTGTGTTGCGTTCATTATTTTTTCATTAAAAACATATTACGCATTTCGATATATTTCATATTATTTTCATTGGATTCATTAAACATTTCCATATTAATTTCTTCATAAACGCATCGTAAAAAATCACTACACATTCCTATACTATAGATGTGTATACTTATTTTTACGCATAATTTATATATTGTACTTATCGTGTTCATTAAAAACTTTAAAAATGTATTCGATACAACTGTATAAAGTACATATATAATCGGAATGTAAAAATACTTCTTTCAAAATATACGATGACGTTGAAAATAATTTATATAAAATTAAAGTTGTTTAATACTTTTATATATAGTTAATGGATAATAATAAAATAATTATCGTGTATAATTATAAAAATACAAATTTACAAAGATTATTGTTGTATTATAATGATTAAAATGATAAATATTACATATTTCGGCCTAAGCCATGATCAAAAACACATATAAACTGTTTAAATCATTGATTATTATATGATAACGGTTTTTATAAATTTTTATTTTTACAATTATTCACACTGAATTATTATTAAAATTTATTTGTTTCAAATAATAATATAATTTTTACCAATATAGAAACGATAATTTAGCATTATTTTCTGTTATATTTAAATCGAGAAATGTAAAATATGATTATATTAATGTGTTTATTTGTGATTGCGCAATAATTAACGATTGATATTATGTTATAATTGGATTTATTTATTTTTTAGAGTTATTGGACGAATGGAATTACTTATAAAATATACATTATGTTTATAGGTAATTACGTAATATACGTATTACCAAATCAAAGTTTATTCTCGAAATTAATTGGAGTAAATCCATTTTGCAGTAAAATTTAAAAAGTTAGTATTTTTTACACAATATTTTATGTACGAACCATAAATATTCAATCTTATATACAACTCAACTTGTCAACATTCTACGATTAATTACGGTCTAAATACCTGAATGGTAAACAAGTAACAGCAAAAAGTTCTAAACAATTTGCTTAAGATATTCGCTAAAAAAAAATAATGATACAAACTACAGTATAATGTATATAATATGATCCTGAATACACAATACATTATTGAATTTAATAATGTAAAAATAACTTTTTCACGTTCATGTTCTATGAAAAAATGAACGCCTTCATTTGGCCGTTGATTAAATTTTTTTCTATTTTCTATTTACGAATAACCAACCTACTTTCTGTATAAATGGGATTTTTATGAAATATATTAGGCATGTTTTACTTTTTTTTTTTAAACCTATACTTAAAAATATTATAATCAATATTTATTATTTATAGATATATTTTTAAAATAGTAAATACATTTTAACGCCCCAAAAATCGCTCGAATTCATTAAAAATGTAATGGTTGTTCATATTTGCGTGTTGCTCACAAAATATGGATTTGAACGGGGGGTTCAAATTCAAAGGGGGGAGCCTTGTAGACGCCCTTGGGTCATATAATATGTATGATGTTAGTTAGTTCTACTTGTTTCAAGCACTACCTAAGTATGTACTTACGGCTTGCAAAAAATAAAAAATCGATCATTTACCTGAAACTTCGTCGACAATGGACAAACCGTGGAGTACTCCGAAGTTGACCAGCGTCAAACTCACTACGGCTAAAGCGGTTTTCATCTCGTTGAGTGACGGAACGAATTTTTTTTCACCGTTTTCTTTTTCTTCGGATCGGTTACCGCGAAATCGGTAAAATTATATCTTGGCATGTACTCGGTAGTTCTCTCGTGGTAAAATTCTTGGCCAAGTAAATGCAACTTCAGCACACGAAATCTTTGTGAGCAGTGTCGAAAGATTTATTTGTATTTATGCGTGTATACGTGCGTGTGTTGACGAGTGGTAGAAGATCGATGCTTAACTGCGAGATCGATGTTTTAAGGGTATATTAAGCGTTCACAGATGCGTGTCGTGGGAGGGGAGAAGCCACACGTATCGGAGGACGTGTTTTTGATGGTCGTGTCGACAATTATAATAATCGTATAATAATCTTATAATAATCGTAATAACAATATTATGTGACGTGTACAAATGATTCAATGAACTTATTCCGCTGGATGATAATATACATATTTATGATGAAAGGAAGGAGAACTATTTAAAACGATAATTTGCCGTATTCGAAGCGGAAATTTTCAGAATCATAATTATCTCAATAATGCGAAAACATGAATCGCATCATCATTAAATTATACGCAATGGATTCGAATTGAACGCGACGTAGTTTTCAAGAGTGTGTTATAAAAATAACATTACGATAAAAAAAAACTTAGAACAAATAACTATAACGCGCATACAAAAACGTAAAAAGTGTGCACGAGAAATGTAAAAAATTAGTAAAAAATTGATTAAAAATAAAAATGTAGTGAATAATTAACACTCTTTACATTAAATAATACATTATATTAATATGAAAATAAACAAATCGTTTATATTTAGAAATAAATAAATAAATGCTTAGTCTGGAGTATTATTATATTTTTAATGTACGACCGGTTTTTAATTAAAAATTCATCAACCGGCGATGGTAAACTGTGCCCAAAATACGTGTATTTACCTGCAGGTAAACACAAAATCACACATGTAAACTGCGCCAGAGTTTTTATCAAGTGTAAAAAAGTGACATGTAAACTGCACTCGGGTAAAATTCCAGGTAAAATACTTAATTCGTTACAGCCATATAATATGAATAATTAAAAAAAAAAATATAATTTTTTAAAAGCAAAATAAATACAAATATTACAAATAATAACGTAATATTGTTATAACATACTAGAAATTAAAAAATATAAATTTTAAAAAGCAAAATTATCACAAATATTACGAATAATAATGGTGGAATACATATTCCTCAATTGGAATTTGACCACTATTATATTTATCAATAAAATTTTCTAAGTTTTCGCATTATTATTTTTTTTTTTTTGTTTTAGAGTTTTGGAATTTAAACGGTTCATTTATACTATTTAGTTTAATGTATACTTCTATTTGAATTTCTTTTAATTTTTCTATGAACGTGAAAATATTTTAATGAATTGTATAAAAGCTGAAATTATAGTGAGAATGAAAAGAATCGCATGCATTTGTGGTTAAAGTTGGCTCTGCTGATGCTTGAGCCCATACTTCAGGTGAATACTGAACTTCTTCACTTATAATTACATCTATCAAATAATCCACAAATCGTGTCATTCTTTCGTCGTTAGGCTTTGATTTCATTAAATAATTGACAAAATACTCCAGATACACTTCCTGGATTTAGATATGGTAAACAGTAACATTGAACTAACCATCTTCTAATAACACTATATTTATTTTTATAGTCATTACTTAAACCATTTTGTTGGATACTTTTATTCCAAGACTGTACTAAATGAAAGCAACATACATACAGACTTTAATAAGTCAAAATTTAATAAGTTAATAAGTCTGACGCAGTTTACACTATACCTTTTTTTCATAGATAAGAATTCTGGCGCAGTTTACACTATACCTTTTTGGTAGTAATGGGTCGAATTGTTCGAATATCGCTTCAAACCGAACCGAACACTTGATGTTCGGTTAGGTTCGAAATTCGAACTCGGCATGAAAAAAAAATCGAATCGAACTATCAAACATCTTTCACTGATCGAAAATCGAACTTGAAAATATATGTCGAACCAGACTTACTAGCCACGATAGTTCGAAAACCAAATATTTGTACAATTCTTCAAAAGTTATTTTTGAAAATAAAAATAGATAATGATTATTTAGAAATAATTATACTATTGGCGATAGAAAGTGATACTCTGTAAAGGGCACGTATTATTTTATATTAATAATGCTATTATTATAATAATAATGTTATTTTTCCAATCGAATGTTACACATTCACCCTCCGTTGACCATAACATTAATAAGTTGTTTATCGCCAATAGATGCAGTGTATCTACATTCATAGATTAGCTATATTTATTTTTATCATATTTATTATAGAGGTTAAAATCTATTTTGGGTAAATACATGGTAATATTCCGATACCGCGATTGTGATGTTAATAAAAACATGTTTACAACTTACGTCTTACATTATAAATTCTATTAATCATTTTATATTTGTGAATTATAGTTATTATTACTATTTTTTTTGTATATAATTAAAATGTACTGATTATATTGTCATATTACACTCAATATTCAACATTCAATGAATATTTTATAAGCTACAAGACAAGACAACACAAGAGAGCACAATACTGGTTTCGAAAAATAATAATAATAATAATAATAATAAGAAATTATTTAAAATTTAAATGTATTGTAAATAATACAATTACTTAGACTTAAAAGTTAAAATATAGAATAGGCAATACGAAAACTTAAAATACAATAGTAATTAATAATTATGGTTGATTTAATTTGTAGGTAGGTACAATGTACATAATAAAAAGTATTGAGTTCGAGTTCGAGTTCGACTTAAATCATAATAGGTTCGGTTCGGTTCGGTTCGATAGAAAATATGAAGGTTCGGTTCAGTTCGAGTTCAAAAAATAATTTAAAGTAAGGTTCAAGTTAGATTCGATTTAAAAAATTAGGGTTCGACCCATCACTACTTTTTAGCATAGATAAAATTTAAGGCGCAGTTTTCGTATGCCCTCATCATCAGGTACATAAAAAGTCAATAAAATCGCAACTTTATTGACTTTGTACATGCCTGGTGATGAATTTTTAATTCCAAACCGGTCACAATTTATAAATATAATAATACTCTGGGCTAGAATTTATTTATTGATTTATATTTATATACTATTTGTTTATTTATAAATTGTATTATTTTAGTTCGATATAATACAATATTAAATTTACTCGAATTTCCCTCGATTCGTATAATTGTTTGATATAATGTATTCACTGCAACAGAACGCACAGGACGTGCCTACAAATAGTCGCACATAAATGTATTATACAATTTATATAAACGTTTTTAGTATTCGCTTTCGGCGTATTATTTAAGTCCTCTATATCAGGGGTTATCAACGTGTAAGAAGCCACGATTCCCTGGCTAAAATTTAGATGAGACCGGTAATCCCATTTTTGTACATGCTTTTTTGTGAAAATGGATAATTTTTTTTTTATCTTTTTCTTTTATTATTACACACCATTCTGTAATAATAATATGAATGCGCATTAAACTTATTTTATATCAAACAAATTATCTTTGTATTTCAAGTACACCAAGCATTATTACAATTACTTATCAAAAGTTAATTATTACATTCCCTGGAGCAAAATTCAAGAAATCCGTGATCACTCGGCGGCTACGTCTAGAATAAGACCACTTCCCGGTATTCTTGTGCCCGCGGTTTAGTCATCTCGTCAAACACAACTCGCGGACCACCTACTCGTATTGCACCTATCACTATTCTGTCCAGTGCTTCTAACAGTCTTACCACTTATGAAGAGATCTTTATGTTTCCTCCAAAACTTTCATTATAGTTCTTTCGTCGGGGCACGCGAATGTTCCCATTACCGCCCTTGGCCCTTTGTCGATGAATGTGATACGGGACGTCATCGGTCTATTTTTAGATGCCCGAAATTCGAGTACGTATAGTGCTGGATGCTCTGATGAATTTCCAAGACTTTTTTTTTATAGAAAACTCGATTTACCGCCTGATTCATAACCCAATGATTGTTGCCGAGGTTATCGATAGATGGGCCATGAGTACATCGATCATACAGCCAATCTTGGAAGAGATGATGGACAAGTAACAAACCTTTCATTCATTTCATAATGTTCAAAAAAAACTAACGTAATAACTACTTTATGTAACTTATCATTAAAATATAATTGGTGTTTGTTACAATGTAATACGTAAAAAGAAGATATTTAAAGAATTCAATCAAAAATATATATTATATTATTTTTTTTTTTTTTGTGTATAACTATAAAACTTATAATTATAGCAAAAAGTTGTGCGAAATTAAGTTTTCGAATAATCTTGTACAAACATAGGACATATAAAAAAAGCCAATAAATGTCATCGTATAAAAAGTATAATAACAAATATTGGAAAAATATTATTCAGTAATTTTTTTTTTTTATTATATACTAATTATACGGTATACTAATTATTTCTTGAAATAGTTTATTGCTATAATTTTGTTTTTCGATTATAATTTTTAACTCTTATTGCTTTTGGGTAACTGGTAGTTTAATTTTTCCGTTGAAATTTTTCCTAAAGTTAAAAAAAAAAGCCTTTATTTATAGTTAATCTCCGGTCTATTTATTTTTTATATATTTTTCCAATTGCTTTAAAAATGTCATAAAAACTAAATAATGCCATTTATAGGCTCGTAATTTTTATATGTGTGTTGTATCCATTCAGGGTTTTTTTTATGATTTTTCCTGACTGCATAAATGTATTCACGCTCCTGAATTGTAGAAGAGAATTAAAGTACATACACATATTGCCAATGAATTATCAAATAAATCAGTTATTTATACGTCATTAATGCAATATTATTATTTGAAAATTATAATTTTTTTTTTTTTTTTTTGTTTATATAAATAAAAGGTACAATATTATAATTAGTCAAATGTTTATTTAAAATTAAATTTAAAAAATTAATTAAATAACTTTTTTTTTATTTAAATAATTTTTGTTTTACGCTTTTACTTAAAATGGTAGTATGTAGGTATAGTAAAGACTGATGAATATTATTAACAATTTTAAAACATTTTTTTTTTTTTATCAATTCACTAACAGTTTCAGAGTTCGATTCTACCTCAATATCACTATCTAAAGTCACTTGATCTGTTTCTTGCAATGTGCCTTTAAAATAATTCTGTGTATTTCCTTTTGGTCTATTAGTGTTCCTTTGTTCCTTCTAGCTTTCATTTTCATA